TATCGTGTCTTGTGTCGTCTGGCAACATATGCAAATAAAAACACAATGGAATATCGATGGAAACCGCAAGAGGAGAGGATTAATTTATATCAGGTATTTAAAGGGATTTTACGAGATTTTAAATTGTTTTTAATTAGCTACCCATTGTAGCTGTGTGAAGGTTACATTTGTTCGTTCGGCACTGGCATAAATTAATTTAATTTTGTCGATTTTATTATTTTTTTGCAAATTTCAACAAGTTTTACGAGCGTTTTTGCATCGAGACATAATGTTTATAATACTTTGTTATTATGTCGTTAAGCAAATCGCAAAATTAAAAAGCATTATACATAATGCCTTATATGCATATACAATGTTTATTATATAAGGGCATTCGTGCATGCTTATATATATGAGTGCGCCTGCATGAATACATGCATGTACGCATGAACTGCATGCATTTGCAGGCAGATAAATATGTTTCAATGTTTGGTGAATATGTTGCTTGTATTTATAGGTTGAACGCTGGTATCTGACTGACTGGGAAAGGACAAACCTGCTATACACATTTCGTTTCGGTTACCTGAAATTAGCACCAATTACGGCAAATGAGGATGTCTCTCATCACTTAAGCGATCTTCCTTCCGGGTCAGTTTTTTTTTTTGCATAATTTCTGTCTATACATTAACAATTCGATTGATTACTTGGTTACTACTGTGTTAGGAGTTTGAGCGACAGTTCGAGAATTTTTCACTTAATTTACAGACTTGTTTCGGCTCCAATTTCGATCCACTGGTTGTGGACAATCAACAATCCTCAGTATGCATCCACATCCTACTCGCAACAAGATGCTGAAGCCAGGAAACAATTTGTCTCGCAAAAAGCTTCTGAAATGTGCCACGACTGGTTGGTTAATATTTTTTGAGCAGTCGAATTTGCAGTTTGGCTCTTCCCAGGATTAGGCGTCAGTGAGCTTGCTAACCTTTTTCAGTTTCGTGAAATTTTTTCAGGCTTTTTGTTATAAATTGGCTTTGCAGTTGTTTCTTAAGAACAAGTTCTGGCTTGTGCGTGAGAAATTGGGCCTACCTACTCATTTTTTTAAGGTATGAGGAAGACGGTGCACAGTATAATTTTATTCGCGATACGGAAACAAATGCATCCTGCCCGTGTGTTGAAAGCCAAGCACGTGTTGATCTTGGCCGCTTCATGCCGCACCCTCGCTGTTCTCAGGTCACTCACTCAAATATAACTGATCCTATTTGAATTCGAAACAAAAGAA